TTTGACAACGAAGAAGGAAACGCGGCTCTTTGAAGAATGTTTCGGATTTCTCCTCGAAACCGGATGAGAATTGTAAATGGTAAATTTGCCCCTTACGAGTTGTGCCGCGCGTAATTGTTTGCGCTCGCGGGGGCGAATAATTATTTGTTGCCGTTAATTAAGTCTTGGCGGCAGAGTTGCGCTGAACCGTCGTGCACGTAAACGCTGTGAAAGGGGATTTCGAAGTGTTTTTAACGGTGTTTCTTAAACGGTGCGCTAATTAAGAATCTGTCTCGCTCAGATGAAACGTTTCCCTCGATTCGAGAAGATTCTTGGAAGGGAGAGAAAGGTAAAATATATATAATTGCATTCGATTTCAAAAATATAAAGTAGAATAAGCTTGCTTTGCTAGAAATAAAGAACAGGAAAATTATTAAAATTAATGGTGCGCTTTGTATATCATCTCTCTCTCTCTCTCTCTCTATCGTCCCTTTTCTTATAATAAAACTAAATCAAAGAATCGATTCGATCGTTGGACAATTGTTCAAAATTACAAATCTTAATTCAAAAGAAAGGAAACGCAATATCAGGAGAAAATTCACCACAAGCGGGAAGAAGAAGAAGAAGAAGAAAAATGCATAACGAGGTGAGCTCGACCGATTTACAAGTACCTCGATCATCGAGTCGAGTCTGGTATCGTAGAATCACAGAGGTCTGCACAGAAATTGGCGTCCCTTTTCACCGCTTGTGCTCCTTCGTCCATTCATTGTGTCTACCGAAAAAAGGAAAAAAAAAAAAAAAAAAAAAGAAAAAGAAAGAAAGAAAAAACGGCGAGGCAACCGTATAGAATCGCTGAGAGAGAGGGGGGGGGGGGAAATCAGTTTTCGCCGTGGCAAAGTGCGCGCGTTTTACGCTTCCGCGGAGAAAGTGGGTCAGAGAGGCGAGCCGAATGACTTGGCACGTTTTCCGCGCTAGACGTTTCCCTCCACCGGATCCTCACCGGCAAAAACACCGCATCCATCGTGCCGTTTCCAATCCGCCCCCCTGTCGCCCCCCCGCGCCACGCGCCCTTCCCCCAAAGGGAAAATGGATGACGCGACGCGGCTAACGACATCCTCGTTTACAGCGCGATGACGATGATACGCGCTCCCTCTTCGAGAAGTCTCCAACGTTGGACCGAGTTCTTTTCTACTTTCTTACGATTCTTTGCTTCGTCGAGATTCGAAAACTCATCGTTCTTCTCGAAAAAATCGTACGAGAATCGTTTTGTAAAAAGAGATAGAACAATTGTGAAAATTGCTGCCAATTTTTCTGTGTCGAATAACGATCGAAATTATTTCGAACAAATATTTCTCGAATCGTGATCACAAATAAGAGAGAGAGAGAATCCTTTCCCTTTTTTTCTTCCAAACGAAATCCGACACGTACGTCCTAACACGGCTGTTATAACACGGCTATATAAATTTAGCACATGCATATAAAGATTTCCCTTTAATAAAAAAAAAGAAAAAAAGAAGAGAGAAAGGCTGAAAGGCCCCAGGGTTTCTCCAGGGGAGGAAGACAAAGAAGAAACTAGCTCCGCCCGAAGCTCCGCCGCGCCGAGGAACGTTGTTTCGTATATTCCTCGTATATTCCGTGGGACCCGTTTCTCAGAATCATCCCGTTTCAATCGGGGACTGTCCCCGCCCTTATGGCTTCACCACGGCCAGGTAATGGTTGGATCAAGCCCAGGGAAGAGAGGGAAGAAGAGGAAGAGCGGATTCCTATTCCGAGAGATATAAGAGAACGAGATATAATACTTGAGGGGAGGACTCCTCTTGGGGAGTTAAGAAAGGAGAAGGAGGGGAAGAGAGGGTCCGAAAAGGGCCGTTTCTCCTCCTCGACAAGAAGAAGAAGAGAAAGAAGAAGAAGAGGAGGAGGACGTGTGGAATCCAGGAATCCAGGATGGGAGGTGGTAACGACAGCGTAGGAGGATTTGGAGCTCTGCCACGTCGGGAGCACCCTCTTGCTCGAGTGCTCTACTGCGATCACCGATACCACACTACAGAACCCGTCCGCGGTTGGTACTCGTAGGGGTTTGGAGGAGGCTACAGAGAAAGAGAGAGAGAGAGGCAGCAGGGCCCTCGAGGAGAAAACAGGTGGAACGACCCGGCTGTGAGCTCGCCGCCGGAAGAGCGTAAATATTGATAATCCCTTCGACTATACCTAACTACCACCCCTCCCTCTCCCCGTTGGATTAGAGCGCGGTCGAAATTTTGTTGCGGGCCAAACCCTGCTAAGGTTAATATCGTCGGCTCCGGAGGATTTCGTCGATGCGATTTCCTCTAAACAGTCGATGCACACACACATATATATATATATGTGTATGGGATTGCGATGTAATTGGATAAGCGATTCGGTGGATAAAGCGATGGTTTTTCGGGGGAGGGGGCTTTGGTTTCCCTTTAACGTGCACCAATTTCGATACTCCGCCCCCTTCTTCGAGGATAAATTAAAGATCGAGTATCGTTTAAAAGATTGTTGTTGTCTCTAAAAGAATGGGGGAAAATCTAGCTTGGGAATTATTAAATTCGCGATAATACGGAGAAGAGAAGAGGGAAAGAAGGGAGTATATATATATATAAAATGACCGCGTCACTCTGGATGATGGTGCATTTTGAAGAATATCTCTGTTATTAGAATCGATTAAGCTGTCAGTGGTGGCGGTGGTTGATAAGTAAACGTGTTAAACATTGTCGGAAAATAGCGGTCGATATCAGCCGCTCGGGTTACAGAAACGTTTGCGGATTACGTGTATACGAGGCGACTGGATCGCGGCGTTAATGCGAGAAGGGATGAGCCGGTACAACTAATTTCAGCTCCGCCATTGTTCTCGCGATGCCGCTGTCACTCTCGAGACGGTGGTGGGCCGTGTAAGCCTTCGTGCGTCGCGTATATATACACACGTACACACAAGCGCGCGTATTTATTAAACAAACGTGTATTCCATTCGGTTATTAAACGCTATAAAGCCGGGCTACGTTGTCCTCGCAGTCACCTTTGATCGTGCGGATGGATTATACTGTTTTGTTATATCTTGGTGACGCATCGCGGTTTTATGATTTTTCCACAGTGTTCGAGTTTATATTTTTATATAAGTAAATGAATTGAATTATGCACGTTTAGGTAAAGGTTATAATTTGAAAATGGAGGAAGAAAATATTGGAGAAGTTAGAATCAAATCTGGTTTTACAGGGAAAAATTTGGATGCGTATTATTTCGTATGTATTCTCGATTTGTTAAGACTCGAAATTTGGAAACATTATCGATGGAAAAATCGAAGGAAATGAGGGAGAAGATAATTTCTTTAAAAATTACGACGGAATCGTTAGTGATTGATATATCGATGTGTGTATTTATAGCAGACACAATGTAGCAATAAATCAATTGCTACAAATGTCTATAAACTTTAAGTAAGACCGATAGATAATTTCGTATTATATGACATACGGTATTGTGAACGAAAAGAAAAATGAAACCTTTAACGATTAATCCTAATCCATTCTCTCTTTCGTATCGAAAATCCGATCCGAGTGTTTATTTGAAAAATAATATCACGAAAACCAACGAAAACGATATATATTTTCTTCTTACTTCCAAAACACTCTGACGCGCTTTTCATTGATAAAAAAAAAAAAAAAAAAAAAAAAGGAAGAAATATCGAAAGGAAAAACTAGCTCCTTCAAACGGAGGGGAAAGGAAAAAATAGGGAAACCAAGAACAGGCCAGGAAAACCAATTAGGAAACAATTAACAAGACAAATCTTTCTCGTTGAAAGCGTAACAGTAGTACCTAGCAGCAACAACGAAGGGATGAAAACTTAACGCGATCCAATTAGAGAGAGCGTCTGCAACGATCATCGGATGCGATTCTTCCTGGGGGGAATGAATTTTTTAACGTAACAACGAGCTCGCCGCTTCCATTAAAGCGCGAGACGACGCCTGGCCGCCGCCGCCGCCGTCGTCGTCGTCGTCTTCGAGTCACAAGGGTGGGAGGGCAGGGAGAAGGGGGTGGCGTCGTCATTGTGCGATCATTGAAAGAGCCCGTGCATGCAGCGGCCTGCATGTTTTGCACTCATTTACATGCAATCACGGACCCCCAATCAGTGGATCCCCAGGCAGAGGGAACAATGCGATACAACCTCGCAAATCCTCCAAATAAAGATAGAGTCAAAGATAGATACGTGTCTCGTCGCGCGCACAGGATAGCACGTGGGATGTATCGTATATTCGATGATCGTGTCGGTCGTTTAAACAACATATACGCGAGACGCGCGTATACTTCTCTTTTTTTCTCCTCTCCTCTTCTATCCCCCCCTTCCCTCCCCCCATTATATCCGTTTATCGACCAATTTCGCGTGGCCCGGCACAGTGTGCCGCGTGCACACGGCTCACCGCAGGCGAAACACGTAATCGAGATATAGGATTATGGATCATTAATTAAATCCTTGCACCTAGGCAGCCGCGGCGTGGAATCAGCTGCAAGCCTATCGATTGGCGGCGTGGTATTCCAGGCACATTAGGCTTCGTCGATTAACTTCGACTCGACTCCGTTCGAGGTCACGGTGCGACGAGGATAGGGTGCTGCATCAAGGAGAGAGAGAGAGAGAGAGAGAGAGAGAGAATAATTATTCGAACAGAGTTTCGTCTCACCGATCGTCATCGTGCATCGACTCGGTGCGACACACCGATCCCACGCAGGCAAACTTCAAAGGGACAAGTGGAAACCGAGCGTATCGATTCGAGGATACGCGGCCGGCTGGCTACAACCACGTTTCCACCGTCTCGAAACGCGCGTCCCTTTCGGCCGAAAGGTCAACCGAAATCATCGTTCTGTTCCCCGCTGTTCGTAATATTCGTAATATTCTATTTTAACCTATCTCTGCGTATCGTACTTATACGAAGGAAAGTTTGGGGCAATCTTTGATTTATTTTAGACGCGGTGGGTTTTGGAATGGGTTTGGAAAGAATTTGTGTACTTACGCGGCTTGCGCGAACGGGGCACGATGCGTGGCGGGCAGCAACGCGACCGTGGCCGCGAGGAGGGCGAAGCTCCAGGAGGCGGCGTGGAAGGACATGGTAATATCCGTGGGACGAGGCTCGGTATCCACGTTCGAGGAGAAGAGAGAACGCCGTCCACGACGACCACGACGACGACGACGACGACGACGACGACGACGAGGACGACGAGAAGGACGTCGGCGGCGAGGACGTGAGCGGATGTCCTGAGGCGTTGTTACCTGGCGCGTTGACCCGGCGCCTCTCTGCGTGCCGTCCGCGTCTCACCCTCCCCCCTTCTTCCTCCTCCACCTCTTCCTCCTCCTCCTCCTCCTCCTCCTCCTCCCACCCTACCTCCCCCCAACCCGCCCCGCCCTCCTACCTCCGTCTTGCTCTCTCCCTCTTTCTCTTCCACTCTTCTCCGTCCCGTGCTTCCTTCTTCTCTTTCTCGCTTCTTCTCTTCCTCACTTTTTTCTTCTTCTTCTTCTTCTTTCTCCTTTGAATCGGGTCCGCCTAAAGTAAAGTCGGATACGTACTATCGTTGAAAATTTTCACCCAGAAAATGTCTCTGCTTCTCACTCACACTCGCGTTTGAAACACTGTATATATATGTATATGTGTGTGTGTGTGTATATATATCGCCGCTCGAATCACCTCACACGATCTCTTCCTCGCGGCCGAGCCTCGAGAGACCCCGGTCTCCTTCTCTCGGCTTTATCACTCGCGATCAGATATCACAACGAACGACGAGATCCTCTTCACTCCTTCACTGTAATTCTTTGCTGTAATCTCTCTCTCTTTCTCTCTCTCTTCGTCTTTTTTCGGCCTCGAAGCCACCGTAAGACCACGGCCGGGATACCACGGCGAATATTTATCGTTTACCCGCTGATGTCACCTTCGAGCGTTCCTCGTTTATCTTCGCGGCTCACTGGTTCGACTTTACACGCGTACAATTCCCCCTCCCCCCCCTTCGATTCGATTTCCACACAACTGCCGTTAACAACAACCGTAATCCCTCTATTATCCCGTTCTCTGGACGGAGAGAGAGGTTATTTTGTCTCACAGCGAGAGAGATTATTATTACTACGCACTTGATTCCGTCGCGATCTCGACACTGTTCCGCGACACTGTTCTCAAACAGAGAGACTTTCACCTCTTCTTTTTCTCTTTCGCAAGAGATTTCACGAGACGAGACGTTCCCGATCTTTTTCTCACCTGGATACAGGAAGGAAGGGAGGGATGAAGGAAGGGAGGAAGAAATATCGTGGGGAATCGTTGCGTCGGGTCAGAGAGAAACGCACAGGGAAACGCGGCGAAAAGGTGGAGCGCGGTGGAGGAGGGAGAACGAGATCCTCTTCGAGGAGAACACCTCTCTCTCTCTCTCTCTCTTTCCTCCTTTTTCGGTTCGTCCTACAAGCACGGAGCCGCCTGATGATCGTCGATGATGTCCTGCCGCGGGCTCCGCTTCCTGCCGATCCTTCCTTCGACGATGGACATTCTTCTCTCTTCTCTTCTCTTCTCTTCTCCCTCTCTCTCTCTCTCTCTCTCCACACTCTCTACGGTCTCGTTCTCTCGCTCGCTCGCTCGCTCGCTCGCTCGCTCGCGCTCTCGCACTCTCTCTCGCTCTTCTCTCACGGGGACACTCGGTCAGCACCCGCGCTACACCGCTACGCGCTCGGGAGTGGCGGCTCTCGCGTCTAGCCCGGCCGTACCACCGCGCAAGCGCACTTCCTTCCTCCTCTTCCTGCTTCCCTGCCTACCTGCCGCCTCCCCGCCCGCTCACCTGCCTCCCTCGTCCTTACTCTTTCGCCCCTGATTAGCCCTCCCGGTATCTGCCTACCGCTACTTCGTCCCCTACTTCGAGAAAAACCGCCAAGGATGCTTTCCCACCTCTCGTTCCTTTACCTTTCTCTCCTTCTTTCTCCCATTTATCCCTCTTCGGTCCCTTTGATCCAAGCCCAAGAAAAGGGAATTACTTGCTCGGATCGTACTACTGATTATACGGATTTCTTACTTATCCCTCGATTCTTGATTCGTGTCGTGTGAACGAACGAAACTGGAATGGTTATGTTATGCGCGGAATTTATCGAGTCGAAATTTTCGAAGAATTCGCGTTCAACAACCTGATATTCATGTATATACATGTACATGTATATATGCACTGCTGGTACTTTTGTCACCGTTGTGTAAGAAAAATTTCCATCCCTTGAAAAAATTGGTAGCGAGCATTGAAACTCAGCAGGGTGCCCCTCGTTCCTCTAACAAAGAAACCCGTTCCGCGTTTAATCTTGAACTTTCCATTTCTGGGAGGACGTGGCTTGTCTGTTCATTCAGCGTGTGTATCGCCAGCAACAGCGGCAGCAGCGTTTTACGTCACAAAGACGAAATACGTGGTGTGACAAAAGTGGGTGCATACGTGTGGATGCACGTATGCACGCCCACGGTCGAAGAAAATCCTCGGCTGACACATCGGCTGTCGGCCAATCGAGCATAATATAATTGAGAGATCCAAAGCTCACGTCCACCCCCGTTTTCCTAGAGATATCCCTACATTTATCTGCCAATAACGCTGTCAAAAATTTTTATTTCTCATACATTTGCGCTCACAGTTTTCGATATCACATATATATATATATATATATATATATATATTCCAATATTCTTCTCCATCGTGGAGTTGGAGCCATTCTGGAGAAAGAGTATGATAACAATATTTATTAGCAATTGTTATGCAACGAAGTATTATTATAGTTATATTCGATGCTTCGAACAATCATTCTCGACCATTGAAAATTTCCATCCGCGTGATTCCGGAATCGGGACGGATCTCTTTTCCTTTCTTCCCCCCTCGTCGGGATAAACATTGGATACGCAGTGTAAACGCGCGTCTGCGTACTCAAACCGTCAGGTATCCGAACCTTTCGATTCAATTGCTCGTGAAAAGCCTATCCTTGCGGCTGTTCCATTCGTCGAAAGCTTTTTCCATATTTATTTTTTTTTCCCCCCCTCCCTCTTTTTCCCTTCGATCGCGATATCGCCCGTTCGTTTTCTTCTTTTCTCGTGCAACTATTTTTCTTTCTCCACGATTCGACGCCCGTAACCTCGCCTCGATCCATCGATCGATCGATCGAATTAATTTTTCGTTCGTTCGTTCGTTCGTTCTTCTATCGAAGGATCGAAAATCGGGGGGGAGGGGATTCACGGGGGGGAGTCCTTCTTTCTTTTTTCTTTTTCTCTTCTTTTCCCCCTCTCCTCGCCCTGGTGTATATTTTTAGATTTCAAAGGGATATCGTTGATGTAGTTCTGGTTTTGTTCCTTGCGCGAACAATGGGGACACGGTGGTGGGATAAAACGCGGGGAGGTTTTATTGGCCTTTTTTTTTTTTTTCCTTTTTTTTCTTTTTTTTTTCCACCGCAGAGAGCGCGGTTGGGATGCGACAACACGGGATGTTGCCTCAAGATCCGGTGGCGGTGTTTGGATTCCGCGGGTACGTGCATCAAGTCTAACGCGGTCTGAATTTCGGGGCGGCGTTGGATTTCGACGTTCTCCCTTTCCTCCCTCCTCCCCACCCCAAAGTTTCCAACAACAGTATACACAGTTCGTAAAAATGGAGAAATAGGGAAGCGGAGGGAACGCTGCGACAAACCACGTGACCCTTTACACCCTAAACAGGATGTAACCCATCGATTTTTTTTCTCGGGGAGGGATTGACTCCTCTTTTCTCACTTATCGTTTCAATGTATTTGCACATCTCGATGGATTAATCTTAAAGAAATGAATCTTCCATTACAATCATTAAAGTGAATTAAAATAATAAATACGTCTCAAATTCTTTCGTCTCGAGAACGCGTATATTTTTCATTACGAATTCTTGTACCACCAATGACATCTTCCTGCGCCTAGACACACAGAAAACACGCACAGAAAGCATCACGGTTACTGTTTAGCGAGATCCATCGAGGGGTGAAACGCGCGTCTATGTGTGCACGATAGAGTGCTCGATAGAGTGCGCTCAAGCTTTGAGGGACACTTTTCCATGCCTCTCAATTGATTACAAAGGAGAGGACGCCGCAAATAACGACGGTCAACAAGAATCTCGTTTCGACCGGTTTTAGGGCGGAGGGGTGGGGGTAGTGTCGGTAGTGTTCGCGAATTAACCGAGCGCAAGGTTTCGCCCGGTGCATTCGCACGGCTGAATGATGCAGGAAGTGAGCCGCGAACGAGAGAGAGAGAGAGAGAGAGAGAGAGATCGGTGGAAGCGGGACAGGGACGGGGCAGGGAACAAGAGTCGATATTACGGTCCTCGAGCTCGGTTGCCCGCGCAAAAGTTCGTTCGACGGTTTAACGGTGGCATTTCGCGGTAACTCGAGAACCCATTGTCGAATCTTCGTTGCATATCGGCGGGATCGATCGATCCGTCCATCCCGTCGAAAACGGGAATACCTTTTCAAGGGCCCTATCCCCTCTATTTCGCGCTTGGAGAACGGATAGAAATTTTTTTTTTTTTACTCGGGTGCAAGTCTTATTTGAATTTTCTTAAGGAGAATATATTTTTATAAGGAAAGGAAGAAGTGGAAAAATTTGATCGAAAAGTTGATTTTCTGAATTTAATTTTGGTCGATTTCTAATATATTCTAATATCGAGGTATTTACGCGGAATGATCGAAATCGTGAATAACGGAATCGCGTTATGGAGGTTTCGTTTTTTCGAGAGAATCGAATTTGAAAATTTTATGAAGTGGAATTTGGCTAATTCCCAATATACGGATACGGATTGGGATAATCGAATTGGAACGACCGGTGAATAATAGACAATTAATTGGATACATGCAATTGAAGAATCGTATTCAACGTGTAAGTAGAATAATCAACGATCGATCGGACACCTTTTATTCTATTCGTTCTTTACGCGCATTTTCGCGCGCCGTCGATCATCTATCGAACAAGCGCGCGACTATAATTGACCATTCGTTCCACGAACAGATTTTCCAAAACTCGTGGAAATCGTTTAAAAATAACACAACAGGCTCGCAAGCGACGAAAAATGCCTGAAAATTCGGATTCGACAACTAGCTCTATCGGTCGCGAATATTCGATACATTTGTATGGACAAAGAAAGCTGGATGGACAAGCACGAGCCGCCACAATCGTTACAAATATTGCGTTTGACACGCGCGTAATCGAATTTTTCCGTTCGATGGCCATTCTCGAAACGGATTGATCAACCGTTCCAGAGATGTATATTCCAAAGTATCTTTCCAAAGGTCTACCTTCTCTCCATTGCTTATACATATATATATATAT